GCACTTTGATGCACTGCTGGATCGCAATGAACATTAAACAAAGACAGTCCTGTATGGTTGCATCCTTTTGCATATGAGGGAGCTTGTACTCGTTCCCCCCTTGTGCTCCAATGTTTTCTCAATCACCTTTTGCAAAGTGGTAAAGTTCTTGGACAACGTATCAACAGGCAGCTCATAAAATTTGCTTTCTACAGCATCAATAAGCTTCTGGATAGTGCGAGTAAACTTTTGATTTTGTAGGCTTCGAAGAGTGTTAAAATATCTTACATCTAGGACAGTTTAGCCTGGACTGTTAGGAGGGTTGGTTGGCGGCTTCCGCACCAACAATACCATGCTGTTGCAGGCGTTACGAAGTCACACAGTTACGTGGACTTGCATTGTCTTGCTGCAAGTATATTGTTTTGGATTGATCTCCCAGAGGAAATTTCTCTTTAATTGCAGTGAGAACAGTACATAAATAATCATGCCCCGAAAAGCATTAGCGCTCACCGATCGAGGAGCTGTAATACCTCTTGGACGATTTTGCTGTTCCGCTTTGCAGGTGATGAAAGACCACACTCCCAATTTGCCGTCGAAAATGCACTTCTTGTTGAAATCGCATCGTGGAGGAGCCACCACCGACAAAAACTTCACTTTCGTAATGAACCAGTTCGACTCGAGGTAGCGGGTTGACACAACTTTGTCTTTGTATGCATAAAGTATCTTCTTTACAGTGTTAAATGGAACCACTTTTCAGCAGCATTCACATATTCGTGCAAATTGGAAAGGTGGCTCCATTAGAGGACTGTAAAAGATGAGATAGTGCATTTTGGACGCGGGAGCGTTTGTTTTGTTCACCGAGATAAGGCTTTGAGGAGCTTGACTTCGCCTTGAGTTGCTTAATTCTTCCTACATGTGGCGGGCAATGGCGGTCTTGGATACTCTACAATGTGCCGACAAGCAGTACAAGCTTGCAAGGGCACTGGACGGATAGCTAGTTTGATGTTGGCTGACGGCACCGTCGTGTTTAGCCCCGAAT